TCTCTGCATCCCTTCCTGAGGTGACATGTACCCAGTCAATATGGGGATAACTGAAATTCCCCATTATTATTATTGAGTTTTTTATTTTAATAGCCTCTCTAATCATCCTGAGCATTTCACAGTCACTATCACCATCCTGGTCAGGTGGTCAGTAATATATCCCTACTGCTATATTCTTGTTAGAGCATGGAACAGTTTGATTAATTTATGATTTTTACTTCATTTGATTCTACCCTTTCTTTCACGTATGATGCCACTCCCCCACCAGCATGACCTGTTCTGTCCTTCCGATATATTTTGTACCCTGGTATTACTGTATTCCATTGATTATCCTCATTCCACCAAGTTTCTGTGATGCCTATTATACCAATCCTCATTTAATACAAGGCTCTCTAGTTCACCCATTTTATTATTTAGACTTCTAGCATTTGTATATAAGCACTTTAAAAACTTGTCTCCTTTTAGCTGTCTGCCATTACATAATGTAACTGAATGGGACTCTTTTTTGACTGTTTCTGATAAGACCCTGCCTGTATTTTATTATTTTCCATCCTCTTGTCCTCACTAGGACATTGAGATTCTCTATTAATAGATCCTCCCCTAAGGGATGTCCGAACCATATGCTCCTCCACACCTGCCGGCTTTCCTCCAGCCCTTAGTTTAAAAACCGCTCTACGACCTTTTTAATGTTAAGTGCCAAGCAATCTGGTTCCATTTTGGTTTATATGGAGCCCATCCTTCCTGTCTAGGCTCCCCCTAAAGTTTCCCCAGTTCCTAACAAATCTAAACCCCTCCTCCCTACATCATTGTCTCATCCACACATTGAGACTCTGCAGTTCTGCCTGTCTAGCTGGCCCTGCGCATGAAACTGGGAGCATCTCAGAGAAGGCTACCATGGAGGTCCTGGACTTCAATCTCTTACCTAGCAGCCTAAATTTGGCCTTCAGGACCTCTCTCCTAACCTTCCCTGTGTCATTGGTACCTACATGTACCACGACCACCAGCTTCCCCCCAGCACTACACATAAGTCTATCTAGAGGTCTCAAGAGATCAGCAACCTTCGCACCAGGCAGGCAAGTCACCATGCGGTTCTCCCAGTCATCGCAAACCCAGCTATCTACGTTTCTAATGATCGAATCCCCCATTACTAATACAAAGCCCGTTCACAGTCTCTGAGGGCCAGGAGCTCCTTGCACCAAATGCACACTTACACCACCTGCCCATAGTATGTAATCATACATGCTGCATTGGGTGCAATAAACTGGGTAGCCCCCAACTCTGTTGCTGGACTTCTGCCTGCATTCTCTTTTTAGTCCAGCAGCTGGTTCCTTTGTTGTGGTTTTGTTTATATCAAGGGGGTGTTTTGGGCTTTTAAGTTTAAAGAATGTTGAGTTCTAGCTCCTGCTCACACTCCCCCGTAAACTCCCTCGCAAAAATCCCCTGTTCGCTAGCTCCTCTGGTCGCTTAGGAGCGGGCTTTTTAAAGCCCTGGTCTCCCTGAGTAGCCCCACCTCTTGGTTAAGGGTTGATGGGTGCTAAATGGCTAAGGGATCAAAGCCTCGTTAAGAAGCTCTCAGCCTTGCCTAGCAGGTCTCTAGGCTCAGCATACACACGGTCAGGACACGGTCCCCCAAACAAACAAACAAACAAAGCACACGGTATAGTCCAGTCAAGCAGTAAGCACACCACAAACACAGATACACACACACTACAGGCAACAAACTTACCCCAAGGGTCACGTAATCGCTCCTCCTTCACCTGGAGAACTCCCTCGCAAAAATCCCGTTCACTAGCTCCTCTGGTCGCTTAGGAGCAGGCTTTTTAAAGCCCTGGTCTCCCTAAGTAGCCCCGAGTAACCCCGCCCCCTGGTTAAAGGTTGATGGGTGCTAAAAGGCTTAGGGATCACAGCCTCGTTAAGAAGCTCTCAGCCTTGCCTAGCAGGCCGTTAGGCCCAGCACACACATGGTCAGCACACGTCCCCCAAACAAACATTCCTCTCCCACGTCCCTCCCTCCTATTTCACCTAGATAGGAAGCAGTCTTCTACAGCAGGGAACTTGTCTTTCTTGCATGTCTACAAAGTGCCACGCTCCCAATGGCACTATATACATAGAAATAAGTATGTTTCTCTGTGATTTCTGTTAACAGGCATTAAAAGAAAGTCATTGGAAGCTGGGAAGTAAAGGGTAAATTTGTTATCTAGCTGCTCAAAATAGCCGTTTTGCAGGTGTGGCACTTGGATTCAAGGAAAGCAATAAAAGAATCTTTATCATCTCACTGCCTGAAGCTATTGTGAAGCAACTGTACTTTGCACAATAGAAACACAAGTTTCTATTGTCTACAGTTGGAAAATACCATTTTCTGACAGGGGTGCAGGTGTACCTGGTTTAACTGCAAGTGGAAAGCAGGATAAACCATGTTCAGTATTATTTCAGGAACTCTGTTAAAACTCCAATCCGAGGCTCCAGGAATAAAAACAATGGGGCCCCCCTTTGGGGCCTTTAGATCCTAACCTAACTCAAATAATACATAAGGATCATTAATTTTTCCCATATCTTTGGATCTATTTTATAGTATGCATAAAATCATATCACTGTACAGCAAGTGGAGACTCACAGACAGGTGATATCAAAGACCCTGTGAGTTACTTCACTTGGGGAGGACAGGAGAAGCCAATCTGAAGGGGAACATCTAAAGCTAATGTGATGGGTCCTACCAACAGCCAGGCAGGGAAGGAGTTAAGTCCCTCCAAAGGGAACAAACTAGAGGGCCAGACTTGCCCTACAGAATCTGCTCTGCAGCTGCTTGCTGGAAAGAGAGGAGTCCTACGTGGGCTCATCTATGTGAACGTAGCAAACATCTGAAAACCCTTTGAGAGCCTTGGAGGAGGGGTGCTGTAGAAGTGCAAAATAAGGTGTGTGACATGTGGCCAGAGTGCCCACAGCCAATGTCCTTGCTTTAAAATATAATGGGTGGAAGAATTCCTTCTCTCTCCTCAACACTCCAGGGCCCAGCGAAGTCACAGAGCCAGGAGACCCCTGAGTTAAGCCCACACCAAGCAGCATGTAAATTATGGGAAACTGATTTCCCCATGAAGACTACACTTCTCCTAATCCAGGGAGACTCCCTGAGCAGGAGGTATAAATTCCTAGGGGAGCTGACTATTTTACCCTCACCATAGAGCTCTACTGCCTGCTGAAGACTCTAAATAAAAGGACTTATTCCCCACCCTCTGGCTGAGCAAGCGTGCTACCATCTGGCAAGGGAAAACTCCTCCCTTTCAACCAAGCTGAGGAAAGTCTTGGTCCCACCTCGGTGTAAGCTGGCCAGAGCAGGGGCCATCATGACAAACAAAAACTGTGTGCACTACAGAGACAGTGCTCCTTTGTTTGCATTTCCCGCCCCTCCTGGTAGTAACCGGAGACTGGCCCTGCTGCCCTCCCTTGCCACGGATGGGTAGATGAACACTTGCTTCAGTTTTGTGGCCCAGATTTTTGCCGCGACAGCAATCTTACCTCTTCCCTTGCTGATATGGTAGAAGCAGGGGTGTTGGGTACGGAGCTGAGGGAGGTGCTTGGTCCGGTTCCTGACGAACTCTGGGAATCCCCATCGCCTGCGACATCATGAATCTCTCGAGCAAGGATGGCTACATCTTTCACCAAGGTTTGGCTTAATCTAGAGCACACAGCACAGCACAAGGCAGATCCATTAGACCTCACTGCATCTGACAATAAACCTCACACTGATCCTTAAAAGGCTGTTAAAAGTCCCTTGAATGTAATAGGTAGAGCCCTGATTAGGACTATTCTTTAATCCTGCTCCCGCTATTATGGTAGCAGGCACGGCGGGACCCCAGTCCTGCTGCAGGTAATCCCGTGCAGGGCTCTAATGGCAGGTGTCATTGTCCCATGGCCACAAAGGAGTCTTTATTGGGCCAGATGCACTAAAGCTGTATGAATTACACCTCTCTGCAGAGGCTGTAGAAGCCCTGGGGAATTCAGCCTGAGGGAGACCAGCCACTGCTGCTTTGGGTATCCCAGGGATCTCTGCCATCAAGAGTTGCTAAGAGACGGTGCTGATTTAATCCGCACCCCTGCACATCACACTCCGTCCTCACACTGGACTCCTATGCCTCTAAACTCTGATAAAAGGAAGTTTGCAATCGCTTTACATCAGCGCAACCACCTCTTCTGCTGCACTTTCCAACGCCAGGGACCTGGGCTGTGGTTTTCACTGGCAGACGCTCACATAAACCTGGGTTGAATCTGGTCCATTTTCTTTACAGTGGAGCCGGAGGGGTTTCAAAAATTGTGATGTTTTAATCAGAGGCTGATTCTATTGGCTCTACCATGACATCAGGAAATGTTCTATTATATAGGCAACCCAAAAACAAATTTGTTTGTTTTTAAAAGAAAAACTTTTTTAGACCTCAAATTTCTTTCCCTAAAAAACCACACATAAAAAAGGACATTTACAAAACCTAACATGAAAATAAATATTTTCATGGATGCTTTTCAGATGTTAATGATTTTTTTTTTTTAATTTTGACATTCCCTTGCTGCATAGGAAACTCAGTCTCCCGGATACTGTGGTAATGAGAATCCAAAGAACCTAAGTAGATAAACAATATTGTTCTTAGGTATGAAAACAGCAAAAGTGAAACTGATCAGTTCAGTTTCACTGACCAACCCAAAAGAGATGCAAAAATGAAAAGGCTTGAAAAAGTAAGCACCCAGATTGAAATACTTTAAAGGGATCTAATACCTAAGCCCCTTTAAGGAATCAAGTTAAAACCAAAAAATTCAGGTTCCCAAACTAACTAGTCACTTTTTAAAAATCTTGGTCTGGTTTTAAAAAAAGGCTGATGTGATTTCTTTAAAGCTGTCTCCCAGCCAGCTAGTGTTGCTTTAATGTATTTCTTTTACTGGAGTAATCAAGTAATTTATTAAACCATGAGGTCACCAAAATATTTTGAAGTGATTTCCTCAGAAATAAGATGTATAGTTGAACTAATGAAATAATATTTAGATCTGCATGTCTCATGCACCATCTACACTTGTCTGTTTCAGATACAGTTGTCACAGACTGCATCAATTATGTGATTATCCTCTTTGTAAACAAGTGGAATTTTCTCCTTTAACTCTCACTTACTATTCTAAACCACGCCCAGTTAATTCGGGAGCAGAAGCAGAAGCGGAAAAATCAGAGCAGCAATTATGAACCAGACTACTTGACCGAGTTCTGCAGAGTGCTCAGTGTACAATGCTAGACAAATCTGATGTAACCATTTATTTATAGCTTTTGCAATCTAAAGTGCTCTCTCTTTTAGGGAATCCTCCTATGAAGCAAAGTCGATAATTGTTTCTACTTTGATTGGATGTTTTAACCTTTACATTGGAACATTTGTAAAAGAAAAAACCTTTAGAAAATCCATACTGTGGACAACGTGGAAAGACTGACCGACTGTAGATAAGAGTTGGCTTCTTAAACTGACAGTATGTAAAGTAGGTAGCAGGGTGAGTGCGTGATGCTGGAAACAGGCAAGGTACAGCCCACCAGGGGAGGGGCAGTAGAGCTGCCAGGTAGTTGCTGGAAAATGTCCAGATTGTGGGCGCTGCTAAGATACCGTGGCAAGGGCAGGTGCTGAGAGCCTGCCAGAGGGCAGGTGCTCTCATGATGCTGGTGCTGGGCTCTGGGAGACCTGTTATCCTTTGTGTAGGGCAGCGGTTCTCAAACTTTAGCAACCTGAGGACCCCCATTTTGATTTTAAAATTTTCAGGGACCCCCCAAGCCACCCTGCTCAGCAAGGCCGTCCCTAAGGGGGTGCAGGCCCAGGGACAAATCAGCATAGGCATGGGAACTACGGGTACGGGGGCTGTTGCAGCGCACCCAGGGGCCCGGCTGCCGGCCCTGTGCACCCAGAGTCCCAGCTGCCAGCCCCACACCTGGGGCTTTTCTCCCAGCCTCAGCTGGGGGAGGGGGGTGGACAGGGGTGAGGGTGCTGGCTTTCAGCACCCCCACTATTAAAAATGTTCCAGTGCCACTGCAAATCAGCCCCCGCCAGTTTGAGGCCCCAGCTCTGCATTGGTGGCTGGGCCAGTGGGATGGATCCAGCCTGGTGCGGGGCCGCCTGCTGCTGCTGGCAGTTGCCGGCAGCTATTGTGGGGCTATTGTTGGCTGTAGTGCCACGGCAGCTCAGGGATCCGGCCGCGGGACTCGCTGCACCGGGTCTTCCGGGACCGACTGCTCCGGCCAATTGCACTGGTCCGGAGCAGTTGCCCCGATTCACCCTACCCAAGGGATGGCTCTGCCGCTCCGCCCCAGGCCCCGCCTCTACTCCACCACTCCCCCCAATGCCCCACCCCCACCCCACCTCTTCCTGCCCCCTGCAGGAGGGGGTGCGGGCTCTGGGTTGGGGTGCAAGAGGGCGTGAGAGGTGCAGGTTCCAGCTGGGCAGCATTTACCTCGGGCGGTTCACGAAAGCAACCAGGAATTCCTCTGGCAGCGGCTCCTAGGCAAGGGGGCCGGGAAGTCTCCGTGCGCTGCCCCAGCCTGCAGGCACCACCCCCACAGCTCACATTGGCCTCAGTTCCTGGCCAATGGGAGCTGCAGAGTTGGTGCTCGGGGCAGGGGCAACGCGCAGAGACCCCCTACCCCCTCCAAGGGTCACAGGGATGTGCCGGCTGCTTCCGGGAGCGGCGCAGAGCCAGGGCAGGCAGGGAGCCTGCCTTAGCCCTGCTACGCCACTGGACTTTTAGCACCTAAAATCTCCCGGTTCGGAGTTAGTAGCCTCCAGGAGATAGAGCCCGATTCTGGGAGACTCCCGGCAAAACCGGGAGGATTGGCAAACCTATCTGATCAGCGGGGCCAGCGGCCCCAGACATCATTCCATCCCCTCCCCCGAGTGTGCCCCGTCCCCACTCCGCTCCATCCACACCAGTGCCTCCAGCATGCCGGGGAACATCCCTGAGAGGGAGGGGGAAGACTTGAGTAAGGGAGGGGAAGGAGTTGATCATTCGGGCCCGCGGACCCCTTGGGGTACCCTCGGGGGCCCCCAGGGGTCAACAAACCCCAGTTTGAGAAACGTTGGGGCAAGGGGGTTCATACTATGTCACAGTGCAGAACGTATCTTAGTAAGGGAATTTCCCGGTTGCTTTGTTAACCTTACAACTCAATTGCACTGCCACCCCCCCTTCCATTAACACTTCCCCCACACCTCTGAAGTGCAAACATGTGACAACCCAAAGGCAACTACAGCGACTGATAACAGGGAAGGAGAAGAGTATTTGTTGCCCTCTAACTATAATAGGTAACTGTCTCTTAATAAAAGGAAATCACGCTGCTGGCTCCCACTCTTTCCTGACGAACTTCCAATCTAAACAGACAGGTCGGAGAACAGGTGGAAGGAATGAGGTGGTATTAGCCCCATTTTACAGATGGGGAATTGAGGCACAGTGAGATTAAGTGACTTGGTCAAGGTCACACAAAAAGTCTGTGGCAGAGCCAGAAACTGAATTCAGATCTCCTGGGTTTCAGTCCAGTGCCTTAACTACCAGGGCACCCTTTCCTTCCCTCTGCTCCATCATTCCTCAAATCACTCCTTCAAATGCCCACTGCCCTTTACACATGAAGTTTTCTTAAAGACAAATGTGCTTCTGCATAGATACAATTCATCACAGCACATCTGTCAGTGCAGCTGTCATAGTTATCACCACTCCTGTATTTTCCTCCCTGACCCCATATGGCCCAATCATTTAAACCAACAGCAACATAAAATAAACTCACAGGCTGGGTCACAGAGAAGTTTTATGACCTAGTTATAAACCCCTATGAGCCAGGGAGTTACAGGCGTGCAAATGGGACCGCTAAAGTAAAGAGGAGGGTATAGACAAGCATGTATTTTAGATTTGCTGCTAGAGCAGGAAGAGAAGCAGCCAAAACACAATGGGCCCTCAATAGAAAATGGGAGCTGGATCAGGCCCTAAAACCAGAACTGTGTTTAACTGGGGGAGGGGGAGAATGAACAGATAAAGCAAAAGGAGTGATAGAATTTCAGTTGAAGGAGTAAACATACAACCAGCTCATGTCATTATATAACGCAAGGATCCTCCAAGTAAGGAGGAAAGGCCTATGTATGTCACTAACACTTGGCAGCATGAGAGGCTGTACTGTGTCACTCCACAGCTCACTGGTGCCCCTAGAGAGTATACTTTATTCTCTAACTACATTCTCTTACAATGCTGGATTCTCTCTCCCCAGGCTCCCTCCCTCCAGCTTGGTTTGAACTCTGAGGTAACGCAGGAGATCAGTTTTCCTAGAACGGCTTGGCACTGTGATTCCAGCTCACCTGGCTATCTCGGCTATCTCGGCTGTTTGTGCGCTGAAGTGGAAGGGGTCAGGTTCATCGTAGTCTTCGTCATCGTCCGTTTCTCTCCCGCTGTGCTTCTGACGCCTCAGCCCAGAACTGTGCGGCCTAGATGTCTGCGTGGCTGTTGAAGTATGGGAGCGTTTGTGTTTAGGGGAGCTGTGATTTGAGCCATACTCCTCCTCTGAAGTAGAAGTGTAATCTGAACCCTGCTGTCTCCGCCTTGAAGCTTACAAAAAATGAATTGGTTTCAGATGAAGAAGAAGAGAAGAGATTTCAGTCTAACTACAGCGGGCAAAACAAGGAGTAGTACAAACTAACCCACAAACACAAAGAAAGGCCCGGAGAGTTTCTGTGCATCTTTTCAGTTAAAGGGAACTTTGGTAGCGCTTATTTAAAAACGGCTCACTATTTTAATGGATCGGCCCAAGCTATATGAATTTGAAGTTATAAATTCCAGTGGAAAAGCATATTGACTGTATTATCAACTAAACATACTCTATTATTGTCAGACTTGATTTGCCATACACAGAAGCCCCATCTATAAGTAATACACAAGTTAGATTCCTAGAAGTCCCCAGAGCCCAATTTTCAAGTGTGCCAAGCACCTTAAAGGTGAGCTGAAAGTAAAAAAAAAAAAAAAAGGGGTGGGGCGGGGGGAGGAATTAAATGAAGCATAGATTTTCATGCTCCGTTTTATTTGTAAAAATAAATGCATTCCCTTTTAACAGGATTTCAAACGCCTCAGAAAAGTATTCAAATGATACTTAAGTCTCCAAAGTCTCCTAAAGTCAATGAGAGTCTTTTCCTTCATTTCCCTGGGCTCTGAAGCAGGTTCTTAAGCACTTAGATACCCATTTTTAGGCATCTACGTATCAACATTAGGCCAACTCAGTGCCTACATTTGAAACTTGGGCTCCCAATATTTGTTTAATATCCCATTATATTACTTAATAATTAATAGTTTCACCTCTTATGTTCTGCCATGATAATCTATAGAAGACAGAATTAGCCACTTAATTTAAAACTAAAGTATGACCTGAATATACTTAAAAGCTTCACTGTGTTACCAAGGTTATCTCAATACTAAACCACAACAATCAAATAAAGCCAATGACAGAAGTAATGGACATAGGTGGTATCAGACAAATGAAAATATTGCATTTGGCATATAAAATGTGGAGAGCAACTGTCTATAGACATGCAGTTACCCCTTAACTATGAACAGAACACTCCTAGACACATTACTAGCTTGGTTACAACTTTCTAAGAGCCTTGACTCATGACAAAGTTACCAGAAAAATGAATCTGTTCGTAATTCAGCTGAGAGAGTGTTTAAAAAATACCTAAAAAGCCATTCAACTTTCAGAATCAAGAGGTTACTCTTGCATTCAGTGGACATTTCAAAATTAAGGGCTTGAACCACCACTCACCTCGGCTAGTGTAAATCAGAATTAAGTCCACTGAAGCCAATGACATCACGCTGCATAAATCCAATGTAAGTGAGACAAATCTGGCCCCGAGCTTTCAAAACATTCTGATAATATCCTGACATCTCAGTACAATTGCTTAAGGGTACGTCCCGGATCGGCGTCTAGACGCGATAAATCGATCCACGAACACACTCCCCGTCGACTCCGGAACTCCACCAGGGCGAGAGGCAGAAGCGGAGTCGACGGGGGGAGCCGCGGCCATCAATCCCGCGCCATGAGGATGCGAGGTAAGTCAATCTAAGATACGTCGACTTCAGCTACGCTATTCTCGTAGCTGAAGTTGCGTATCTTAGACTGACTGACTGACAGACAGACACACACACACACACACACAGAGTGTAGACCGGCCCTAAGATAGCCTGACAACATCCTGGCATCTCATGTCCCATGGCCATGTATTCATTCTGTTTCTCTATTGGTAGGATTACGTTTTCACTGGTATGGATGGAGGTAATGGCTCTTAGCTAACTATTTTAAGAAATCCTTGAATAAGGCAGCTAGATCTACCTCACTGCTCTCTCCCAGTCCTCACATCACCCAGAATCTCTGGTTCCAGTGTCAAAGCACATCACTTTCAAATTGTTACTGTATCAGGTTAAAAAACGCCTTGATACCACAGTGAAACATTTAAGCTTATTCAAGTTTATTTTTTGCTCTTATAAGGGGGTACTAGCTGTTTGTTCATTAGTACAGGAACACGTATCAAACACTATCTACAGTACGACAAAGCATATTAAAATACCCCAGTCTATGTAGAACTTGTGCAAGGTCCAGAATTCTATCAAGGAATTAGAAGATTAGTATTTTAATAGAAAATGATTTAACAGAAAGAATTATAATTCTCTGCTGTAATTCTACACAAGAAATATGTTAGTGTGTTGTAACAAAGTACTGAAAGCCAAAAACCAATTCATTTAGAACAAGAACTGGGCATGAATTTGTTTTAACATTCAAAGTCTGTGGTCCAGTGTAGGGGAAGCACCTATCTGGAAAACTCTGAAATGTAAGGCTGGAAGGGACCTCAAGAGGTCATCTGGTCCAACCCCCTGCGCTTTGGATTTGTCAATATTCTAACATAAGAGAATGTAAATAGGAGCACCGTCTCAGAAAACACAAGGGAAATATTGTACATATTCCCTTAGCTTCTTCATACTCTATGCTGATTTCTTTGCATATCAGTGTGTAAAAAAAAACCCAACAAAATAAAAGGAGATTAGATCATTTAAAAAGTCAAAATTAAAACAACAGCAGCAGTGAATAACAATTCCAGCATGCAATAGGAAGCACAGTGAAGACACCGGGGTAAGTCGACCTAAGCTACATCGACTCCAGCTATGTTATTCAAGTCGACTTAGATTGACTTACCCTGGTAGTGAAGACAAGCCCTAAAGGCCTTTGACGCAAGTTACAAAAAACAGATGGGCTGAAACTAGCCACTGTCCCAACAGCCCCAGTGAAACTCAGTAAGCCACAGAATTCCTCACCCTCTTCATTCCCCTCCTTCTCTAAAAGCCCAAGTGAATTGATATGACTTGCTGCATGGTTGACACACAGTCAACCCATGGAACTCCTTGCCAGAGGATGTTGTGAAGGCCAAGACCATAACTGGGTTCAAAAAAGAACTAGATACATTCATGGAGAATAGGTCCATTAATGGCTATTAGCCAGGATGGGCAGGAATGATGTCCCTAGCCTCTGTTTGCCAGAAGCTGGGAATGAGCGACAGGGGATGGATCACTTGATAATTACCTGTTCTGTTTATTCCTTCTGGGGCACCTGGGATGGCCACTGTCGGAAGACAGGATACTGAGCTAGATGGACCTTTGGTCTGACCCAGTAAGGCCATTCTTACGTTCTTATGCCCTGAAGGCCAAGGAACCAGGGTATCAGACCAAATGATGTTCAGAACCATCTCTGATTACTGTGAAGTATCTGTCATATGCATCTTCCCCATCTATTAATTTAAGTATAGTTCAAACATAACTGTTAATGTTCAGGACACGGTTCACAAATAGCCAATGGCTCTGCACAGGTAGGCAGCCAAATAATCTGCACCATATTCCTCAATGAGAGATTTAAGTATGCAGCTCCTATAACTATGGCACATTTTGGAGGCTGCATGCCAAACATAAAAAGGGGCAGAGGCAATCTCCCCCCATGGGCTATCAGAGTTCAACGCCAATTGTCCAATCATCCAGTGCTTTGAATTTGCTGCAAGCAGCAGAGCTGCTTCCAAATTATTTGCTCACTTGCTTATTCCTTGTTTTGCCTTCTCTGATGCCTTCAGATTTACTTCTCTGACCTCAAACCATCATTGACACAGTTATAAATTCTCTGTTGGGCCAACGCGCACGTTTTCTGGTTCTTCAAAACCATGTGACACTGGAAAGTCGAGAAGTTCTATCTTTGTGAATAGGGCCAAGATCTTCACGTGAGGAGTGATTTTGGGTGCCCAACTCGAGACACTCGGACTTTTAGAAAGTGCTGAATACCCACCTTCTGAAAGTCAGCTGCTATGAAAGCATCTCAGGTTGGGCACGCAATAACTGAGGCACTCAAAAATCACTAATCACTTATGAAATCCTTCTGGTTGATCAAACAATCTCAGTTGGGTCTATGTGCTATTTCTATACCTTGACGTGTCAAGTTGTGTTGTTCATGAATTGCACCAACATGCTTATCTGTGCCCACTCCTCCCTTTGTCCCTCTTCCTTGATCCCTTTCCTCTCTTCCTCCTCATGGCACACCCACCGCCATGCTTTTGGTGTTCCTAGGAGAACTACACCTGGAGCCCACAGAGAGTCTGTATATTATAAAAGAGCGGGACTAAGGAGAAACATAAAACGTAAGCACTTACTGGAGGTGGATGAATACCTGACACTGCTAGAACGAGTTCTACTGAAAGGTTGCTTTGTAGTAGCAGCAGCTGCAGTTTTTCTAGCGGCAGTTCTAGCCTCTGACACAGGTGGCTTCCGATTTGCATAATACGACTCCACACTGCGTCCCGAAAACCCAGTTCTTGGCTGCGTAGTTTCAGAGTCGCTTGGCACCGTAAACGAACCTGCCCGTTTCCTTGGCATGGCAAGGATGTCAAGCCTGGACAGCTTTTTAGACTCCGCGGATTGTTTAGAAGACGTAGTTGTGGCTTCGAGGTTGGAGGTGGTTTTCTCGGTGTCGGCACATTCATTATCTGATGCATCTCCCAACCGGGCGCGACGGAGTTTTGAGGCCCTCGTGGGCCTGGGGGTCGATAAACTGTTGGACCTGGTGAGAACTTGCTGGATTTTTTGCACATTGGCAGTCACTTTGCCGCGCTCCTCTTTCACAGCCTGAGTAAAAGGTTTCCTTCTGGGGACGGATTTTGACACAGAATGCTCGTGATCAGAGGAGGCCGTTTCAGCTACTGGGAAGTAAGGAAGACTAGAGCTTCTTTCGTCGTCCGTAAAATCCAGTGACCCACGAGCCCCAGCACTACGCTTTATTTGGAAACGTTTGGCGGTTTCTCCTCTGTTTCCTGCCTCGGGCGGAAGCATCCTGCGTTTTTCTGACAGCCTTTCGCGAGCGCTGGGCTGGCTGCACTGGTCCTGGATAGAGGGAGTGGAGGAGGATTTCTCTTTCTGCAAGCTGCTCGGAACTTGGCATTTCGGTGTGCTGCTTGGGACGTTTTTACCGCTAACCAAGCTGACCGTGCTTGCCGTGTCCACATCAGAGTCCCCAGATAAGGAGTCTTCTAGCTGCCCGGGAATAGTTTCGGAAAGGTCCAACTGGTGGTTTTGACAGAGTATTTTGGCTTCCAGTGCTGCCAAAGCAGTTTCAGTGTCTTTAAGGATAAGATGAGTGTCTTGATTATAGTCCATACGACTTGATCGTGCAACATCTAAATCTTTAAGCAGAGGGTGACTTGAAATATGAGGAAGTTTATTCTGAGGAACAACGCCGCTTGATTTATCTTTGGTAAAACTTTCCTGCCTAATGAAGGAGGATATTTCTTTTGTGGCTATGTTTTCTTGCTCTTGAGAAAGATTCTGATGAAGGGAAATAACCATTTGCCCCGATGCGCTAACGTAAGTGCTGTTAACGTCTTTGACCACTGGCTTTCCAGAAGCTGCTGCACTGAGTGACTTGACAGGACACTCTTGATCCTTGCATTCTTTGTCTGCTCGAGAATGAGACGTGCTTAGAGAAAGCTTGGAGGGAATCCCAACTTCATTAGTGTCATCACCAATGTAGAAGGATGTAGATACTGGCTCACTTACAGCTGTGATACTTGAAACCCCTGGTGCTGCCGGCTGTCGGACCTCAGGTTTTAAGTCTTCCCCGCTTCGTCGTTCTTGCTCAGGCATTTTACTGTTTTCTTTGCATTTCTTTCCTTTTTCCAAACCAAAGCCGTCGTCGGACTTGCTGGCATCACTCAGGCTATCAGGATCCAAGTCCTCTTGGATGAACAATCGGGTGCTGGGATCAGCACAGGTTTCTTTACCCTGTTCCTTTACAACATTTCTCTTGGATACTTCGGGATACGAGTCTTGACAAATTAAAACTGTGGGTGTTGGGCTGTCAGATTTATCACTCGGTGGGAGCTGGGGAAGAAGCCTTCTTGTTCTTGAGGGCACAATGGTCTCTGGTTCTCCTAGTTTATGAGCTGTGCCACTTTCTAAGAAAGATTAAAAGACACCCATTAAATGCTGTTTACATGCTGTACTAGAACATTGCATTTATTCACCAGGGGCTTGAGCCTGCAAGGCGCAGATCCAGAAAGGCAATTAAGTACGTGCTTAATTTTAAGCATTGACATCAATAGGTCCCATACATATGCTTAAAGCTAAGCATTTGCTTAAGTCCCAGGCTGGATCAAGGCCAGAGTGCTCATCACCTGGCAGAATCAAGTCCTAAATCTGATTTAATAACCTTGACATTCAAACATCCCAGCCGTGTAAGCACTCTTGTCACAGTTATATAAATCTAAAAGACCATACAAATATACAAGAGACCCTGAAACTATATCTTTTTCCTGCCAAAGGGAACGGGGAAAAGCTGTCAACCATGTAGCCATATGTTTGGACCAGAGATGCAACATTTTAAGAAATGTGCTAGATGATATAGCTTACTTCACTAAAGAGATGCCACTTTCCACTTGTACCGACCTTAGCAGATTGTATTCCACATCAAAGTCTCCATATAGAAATCCTCCTGTTTAAACAGGAGTAGGAATTAGAAGCCAATGATATTCTACGTGTTATTAAGGACACACTTTACTAGAAGAGTTTTATTATTTCACCCCATGTCACAGCTCAGGATTTCATATCTTCCGGCATTTTTCATTTAAATAATACATGGCTTGTAACTTGATTGGGATTGCAAGATAAAACACCCAATTGTCCAGGAGAATTCAAGTACAATGTGCCACATTATGGAAATAATCTCTGGAACAAAACAATTGCTTTCTGCAGCCTTTTAGCTGTTGGAGCGAGGACATATGGCTCCTTATCCAGAGAGAGGGGGCATGGTTGTCTTCTGGATTACAACATTTCCTACTCTCTCTGACTCCCATTCTCAACATCAAGTCTTAGGGCCCTTTCAGTTTTTTAGCTCCCATCTCTGACATGATTCTAAGACTTCATTTTGTTTTTTCTTCTCTTGTACTTCGTTTTATGCATCAGGCTTCCTACAATCACTTCAAATACTGCTACCTAGTTCTTCCAAACCCAAGGACAGTCTGATATGCTCAGCACAGCTTGAGAATATGGGAGAAGTGCAACAAAACCACAGCTAAAGAGGGCTGGTCAGTACTAGCTTTCATTAATGTCTTGCAAAGGAAAAATTGAGGTTCTGCCTTTCCTTTTTAATGAAGTATAAACAATTCCTGATGGATGGTTATTTCCAATCCTGCCCCCTTAAGTGTTATTGTTCCCTATGCCACCTTAAGAAACATCAGGAATGTCAAGTATGGTCTTCACTTTTCTTGTTGGAGAACTTGGATGACTCAAATGTGTACTGGGCGCCTTCGTAACCCTTAACTGAAGGGATGAGGCAGCTAATCCTAAACAAAGAAAGATTTCTTTCCAAATACTTCAGTTAGAACAGACAGTAAGCTGTAAGAAAATTTAAGAGCATTTTAAGCTCTTTATGTCCAACAGAAAGCAACAAAAAGGAGCATAAGCACATCTTCCCCCCAACACACACACACTTTTCATGTCACTTTTAAATAACTGTCCAGCATCCTGAAGATGGCATCAGTACAGTACTTACCTGTATGGCCCTCAGATACTAATCCCTGCTGTTGACCATCACAAAGCCCTGAGTCTGTGTAGCTGTCAGCAAGACTTGCCCACCTAGAGACCCATTTCTGACCACCATGAGATGCTGGAGGCACCTATAAAAAGACAAATGGAATGTTATACAATTTTTTAACCTAAGTCTTGTCACAAAACCCCTCTGTGACACCCTGTACCCACATGACACTCTGTAACCCATGTTCACCCCTTTATATGATTATGATATATTCTGTACCAAGTATGCTTTGTGAGGTATCATTTGAAAACTCATAATCTGCTGAACATGACTGTCCTGTTAAAATGTGTATAACACTATGTGTAAAATTATGAGATTTTGCTATATGATTGTTACTGAAATATATTGTAGTTCTGGGTAATGCCAACAAACCCATTTTTCAGAGGCAAAGACACGCTGGCAACCCCAGACAGGTACCAACAAAGTCAAGTGAGTTATCACTTCCTTAAGTAGCCATTCTTCAGCAACGGGGAAGTGTAAACAAGAAATTTACATATCCTCCCAACTACGATACGAATCTCACGTACAGAGGAGACTGTTTGTCTACACCCCGGTAGGGCGATAATCCTCAGAGAGAGGAGGAGGATATAAAAATAAAGGACAGCGACCTCCACAGGACACCTCTCTCCTCCTTCCATTTCTCTGCTTATGGCAGCAACCACTCTCAAAGAACGGAACAAGGGACGGAATGGTCCCAGACTGGAAAGGGATGCAGCCTGTGAAATGTATTGCAGCTCATGGTGTGGCAAACCTTTTGCTTTTAAGCCTATTAGTCTGATAAAGTTTAGGAATTAGCTTGCGTGTTTAACCTTTTATTTCTTTGGTAACCAATGCTGACTTTTATGCCTTACCATTTATGATCACTTAAAATCTCTCTCTCTCTAGTTAATAAACTTCTTTTATTGTTTTATCTAAACCAGTGTGTTTGATTGAAGTGTTTAAGAAATCTCTACTAGGTCAACAGGGCTGCTGCATATTCATTATCCACTGTTGGAATGACAGACTATATATGAGCTTGTACTGAACAGTACAAGATGCACATTTCTAGGGGACAAGGCTGGGATTCAGGGATATGCGGGTGTCGCCCTGTATGTAATTTATGGATGGCTGGGCATAGCATTCATGTACTCAGCTGGGAGTGACTTTACTTGCTCGGGGCTGTGTGTGAACAGAGCCCGCAGAGGTTTGCTATTCAGCAGCAAAGCAGTGTTAAAGGCATCCCAGTCTGAAGAGTTGAAGGGACACAGCAGTTCAGGTTGCACCCTAGGGAATGTCACACCCTCCTGAGAGCCTGTTGCACACACAGACTGGTCTCCCAAAGGTGAAATTGAATCAATACATTCCCACCTAGGTAGAAAAGCACATAAATCATCCCTGTTCCCTGTACCTGCATCTCAGCCTGGGACCCACAAGTGGGTTTTGAAGGGAATGCCTGGAGCAAAAGTGTCTTCTGACTGGTGCCATTTTCAGTGATTAGATGCTGGTGAGAGCTTGAGTCTTCCTTTTCGCCTTTTATAACAGGTCTGTAGGCTGAAGATAATCTGGAAAACTCTGCAGATTCAAACACGCCAAAAACCTAAAAAAGTGTGTGGTGGGGGAAGGGAGAGATTAAAACAACGTAACCATGAAAGCCATATCCAAAAAATGCTAATCACACTGAAACTGGGGTCCCAAATGGTCAGATACAAACCAATTTGTATATACCATGTAAGTTATTCTATTTGCCACTCTTCAAAAAATCAGGATAAGAATCAAGTCACCTGACTCCCAAACTAACCATGAGACCATCCTTCTCCTTAGTGCAAAGATCTATTAATTGGGGTATTTTTATACTGTTGCATTATGATTGTTTATATATCAGGGTTAAGGCCCCATTGAGCTTGCAATCTAGTTTAAGGGCTTATTTTTTACAGGGAAATAGCCCAGAAGAGATATAGCAGAATAGCTATTCCGCACTAGCTTTTTGTGTGGACACTCTTATTACTCTTTGGAAGCGGATTAAACTAATCCCCAAAGAGGCACTCAGTGCGGAATAAAAGTGTCCACATGGGGCGCTAGTGCAGAATAGCTCCAGTGCTTTACATTCACATCCTCACTTATTTCACACGAGCTTTCCCCTGTAAACAAGCCCTAAAACAACATGCAGCGAGTGGGTGTAACAAACCATCGGAAGGAGTGGAGGAGGAGGATGAATGTGGAGTAGCAGAGATAAGATCACATGGGTACATAGGCCAGCTAGCGCAGAGCTTCACAGCCTGACTCAATTACTTTACTTTACCCTTTGCCTACATTTCCGTTATTTTTCCCGTGCCTGTTTTACTTGAACCTCTGCCTGCTTCCTCTGTTGTTAAACCTGGAAATAGGCCACGCTTTACAAAATAACTGTTTGTGTTTGGGGTGGTTGGGGTTTTTTTTTAAGTTATCATTCATTTTATATTTTTAAAATTAAAACAGATACAACCATTTCCATGACCAACCCCACCCGGACACTCCCTTCCCTACAGCAATTAGTTGCCATCTGCCTGGACAAGTCCCCTTTAACAAAACAAAACCACCCCCAACTAGGAGTTGGGGATGTCACTGGGGCTCCTGAGATAGAGAAAATCTGTCCTCCGTTTCAGCTTCTTTTGGCCTGCCAGGCAGAGTATACGTGCATCATATATTATTAACAGCAGGGCTGGAGGAGGTGGGGTAAAGGGCATGAGGCATAGTTAGATCCTGAACTTGCAAAGACTTGTGCATTTGAGCAGTCCCGTTGTGTAAAGTTACTCATTTGTACAAATCTTTGCGGAATCGACCCCTTCATAATTTTGAGCATCATGTTGCTTTTTGCTGGTACATTGGCAAGGCCATTCTTGTACCTTTCATGTAAATCCTGTTTGGACACAAAGATGTGAGTTGCGATAAGGTCCCCCTGCTCCTTTTCAGATGGGTTTTTAATGGATATTTTACCGCCATTTATGGTGCCTGTGGTGAATGTGTGATAGGATCCCCTCTGTGCCGGATCCACAGAAGACAGGAATCCCTTAGAGCTCCTATCCAGCTCACACCCTTTAGCTGAAGCCATTGCAGCTCATATTTTTGGCTCAAGGGGTACGTCTACACTGCAAGTGGCAGCGTCTCAGAGCCCAGGTCTACAGACAAGGCTACAGCGCTCAAATGGACATACAGACATTCAGGCTCAGGGTCTGAAGCCTGGGGAGGGGGGAAAGGGGGGGCTGTTTTGGCGCTCTAGCACAAGCCCATGGGCCCGAGTCTGTAGACCTGGTCTCTGAGACTAGCTGCCGCAGGCTACCACTTTGCAGCGTAGACGAACCCTAGAGGTCCCTGGGTCAACCCCTGGTTTTGTCGGCCAACCGCGATCACGTTTATAAGAGGTGTTCCCTGGAGTGATTTTACCTGATCTATCATTTTCCGAGCTTCTTCTACTTCTTTATCTTGGGACTCCGTCTCAATGGTGTATGTGCCCGTTTCACTTAAACTATCCTCCTCATCGTGCTTCCGAGCCTTGACCAATTTGGGGTCGGTAGGTGGTGCGGTGGCAGGGTCTGGTGCAGACGATATTACTACCCGGGGAGCCACTGGCATCTGCAGAGGTGCTGGCTTCTCAGCGCTGACCTTTCCAGCTTGAGAGTTCTCCCTTAGATACTCAGCAGCAAAATCCTGAGCAATTTTAGACTTCCTCCCAATGCTGCCGTAGTTCTTTGCAGACGGCCTTGAAGCAGAGGATGACGAAGAGCTGATCCGATCTTCTGTCTTCTCTCTCTTAAAGGAGCTGGATCTCTGTGTCCCCGAGGAGTTGCTAGCTGGCTTGCCTGCCTGGGCAGCCAGATGAGGAGGTGGCACTGGGCTACCAAGCTTCTCAGCAGGCATGGCAGCTTTGCGCTTTTCCACCTTGGTTTTCGGCACGGGATCCGTGTCGCTCTGGGAGGAGTGTGCGCTGTGCGTGAAAGACTGTGACCTCTTTTTACGAGGCGTGTCATCATCAAAGAACTCGATGACGAAGGCCTGCTGGTTATGCAGCATTTCGTGGGGGTCACGCCTGATCTGGCGCTGCAGCCTGGCTTGTTCAGCTGCATGGTCATTGCTGGTGGTCTCCTTTTCTGCTGTGGGTGCAACGGGGTCTTCAGAATCGCTCTGCGTCCCATCTTCATGTCTGTTACCTGAAAACGTTCACATGCAATTTATTCCTACACTAACATTTCACTGTAACCCTAGTAACCACCTCCCAGCACTGTCAATCCTGGATTTTTCTCTTTGTAAAGGAATAGTTCATACTGGGCACGCTGCAAAAGACACCTGGTTTGATCTGGTGTTTAGAGAGAGCTGAGTGTTTGCGTCCCAGAATGATGAAAGGGTGGGAAGTAGGGGGAGGGGTTGTAGGGAGCTGGCTGATGGAGTTCCTTTTTAAATACGGCTGGGGTTTTGGTTTTGTTGTTATTGTAAAAATTAATTATGTATCAGGGCATCTAAAGCTTTTTATGTGCATCTTTTTTATTATTTAAATCAAAATAAATACAGTAATTATTTTACCATTCTGTGCAATTTCACTAGTCTCAAAGATTATCTTGTTATGCATCATTTGTTGCGGAACAAAAATTACCCTGCAGAGCAGGGGAAACAAAACAAAACAAAAGCCCTGTAGATTGCATTCCATGGACTCAAACCAAGATGATGAAAGAGCAGCAGGCTGACGGAATTCATAGCTAAAGCGCCCCTGAACTTCTATTTTCTCTCCCCCTTAGGAGTTGCAGGATTTTCAGTTTTATCTAAAGGATTAAGGCCATAAAATTCCCCAAAGTTATGTATACGGCTTCCACATCATTTCTTCACCCTCCTGGCAAAGGTTAACTTGGTTATTTTATGGAAGGTTCTTACTTATTAAGCTCTGTTTTGCACCAAAAGTAGTAACATTTTTAGTACAGAATCTCTCTAACATTTAATATCTCCCCTGCCCACCCAACATTTAACCAAGAAAGAATCCGAGGCATCCAGGCTGTGGGTGACTTGCCCAAGGACTTACAGCAAGTCATCAGGAGAACTGGGGAAAGACCTCTGTACGCTAGACCGTACACATGCGTGGTAAGAAGAGATAGAGGTTTAACACCATGCAGTTGAAAGGAAAACTGCACCTGTTTTGCAAATCTAAGTGGCCCAACCACACCGGTAAAGAGCACATGATTTAACACTAAATCCTTAATGTAGCCTTTCAAAGATCTCACTAGCTCCTTCCTCAAGAAAAAGGCTGAGCAATTAAATGGACCTTGTATTGTGCCCTGAAGGTCAGTAATCTTGGTCTCTGTTGGATTGAGGTGAGCAGCAAGTTCTCAAGTTAAGGGCTGGGAACCCTGCTCTCGATGTTAAAATCTTGGGACTGTGAGAAGAAGTTCCGTGGATGATTTCAGATGTTATGACAGCACAGTAAGAGACTACATCTTTCCTCTGGTGGCCAGGACCCAAACCACAGAGTATTTACATCCTGATGTCAAGACACCTGAATTGTTCCCAGAAGCAAAGAAGCAGACAGTGAAGACCTCAGAAAACTGGTGTAAAATGTTCCTTGGGGCCAACAATGCTAATTAAGGAGATGGCCAACTGTAGCTTACAAGTGTTCTTCAAAGACAGCCCCACATAGGAACATGTTACACAGTAAACCAATCTGGAGGTCAAAAAGGCGTGGATAAATGTTGCAAAGTTCTCATCAGAGAATCCTCTGCCTACATACAGACGGATATATACACTAACTAGGTATTTGATGAACAGGAGACAATTACGTGCATCATCCGCATATTGAAACGTCACATTATCTCACTCTCTCTCCCCCCAACCTCATGTAGACACTGAGCGGGGAGACACACACAGCTGTACAGAACACCATATGGGAAAATCCTAGGGGCAGATGAGCAAATGCCTGCCACCAGCCCCTGGCATCTCTCTCAAAAGGAAGAGCACTATTCCAGTGCATTCCGATACACTACAGCCGAGGTTCACATCCGAGACAACAAAACGCAGTCGCATAGAGTATGTCTACACTGCAGTTAGAAACTCATGGCTGGCCCATGCCAGCTGACTCGGGCTAAGGGGCTGTTTAATCATGGTGTAGATGTTCGAGCTCGGCCTGCAGCCCGATCTCTGGGACCACCCACCTCTAAGGGTCCCAGAGCTCGGCTGCAGGCTGAGCCCGAACGTCTACAACACAATTAAACAGCCCCTTAGCCCGATCCAGCTGTGAGTGTTTAATTGCAGTATAGACATACCCCTGAAGACACCAGAGCTCCTTCGCTATACAACCTTCTCAAACACTACATACCATGGCAGATTACGTCAAAGGTAAGCAAGACTGTCAACATCAGGAGATGGTTTCTTGGACGAGGGCCTAGTGACTTCTCCTTTGAGGGAAGCTGGTATCTTGCCATCCCGTAAAGGGCCATTAACCTCAGCCATTGGGGGACCTGATAGCCCCCCCTCCTTGACTTTATCAGGCAGGAGGATTACAAACTGTAGCTCCTCCGGCACTTGCAAGGCCTCCATGAGCAAACTGGTGGAAATTCACAAGATGTTGCCTTTTCCCCATTTGACAATGAACTGGCCTGATAGAGGCGGCCAAACTCGCTCAGGTCAAATAGATCGTGGGGGGAATTTTCAAAGGCACAGATGAACATTAGATGCCCGACTGCCAGTAGCAGTGGGACACCAAACTATTTTGGGCCTTTGAAAATCTTCCCCTCCTTGTCTGCAAGAGATGACAGAAAACCTCTCATGGTGACAGACTCTTCCCAAAGGCAGGTGACCTGGATTCACCTGGAACAGTTAAATAGTGGGGGGGGGGGGGTTCAGATACATTTTGGTTAAGGAAAAGAAACCTCTCTCACAGCCATGGTACAGAATTTCAATAATCTCTGTCCCCACTCCTCAGACTCTGCCCCTGGAGCTCTAGCCCCCACCCCACTGTCTTGGGATTGTGACTGTCCACTGTATACCAAGATCAAGGGCAATTAGCTACATTTGAAAGCAAATGTCATTCCTACCATGACAGGAGGCCAAGAGAATAGATTAACTAACTTAAACCTGTTTCTAACCTGCCTTAACAGCATGAAGAAAAACTTGAACATCTGAAACTGAAACTCTGTTTGAGATGAGTATGTCTGACGATCTGCTGTGATAAAGCCAGGTGGGAACCGGGTTAGAGCATTCCACTGCCAGCATCACAAGTGGCATCCATGTCCAGCAGGTGGGCTGTCAGCCAGCTGAACTAGGCTTAGAAGTGTCGATAGTGATTATAAAAATACCTGTCACAGAGAAGTGGTTCTTACCCTGCGAACTTTGTGCTGAGAAAAAGGGCAACATTTCCCTCCCCCCCCCCCGCCCCTATTTATGCTGTACTTGGAAGGCAAGCACACGGACTAGCCAGCATGAAAAACAACAGCTTACCTTTCAATGTCCTCACATGAACCGGAAGGTCACTCTTTGTACTGTACACATCATCTCCTGGAGACTGCCTTCTCATCAAACTTGGGTCATTCTGAACCAGCCAATCAGCCACCTTGCTCTCCGCTGACATCATCTCTGTGTGACCCGCATCCTTACTGAAAGGTCTTCTCTGTCTGAGTGAAAACTTAGTTACATGATCTTTTATCTTTATTTTACCAGGGGTACAGTCATCAAATTCAATGGTAAAAGAGGCATGGCTTTGCACAACCGGTGGCACCACGGCATCGATGTCCTTCGTTGGGATTTCATGGACCTGTGTTTCAGGAGATTTTGCCGGCTGTTGGAATTCCTTCGTTGGGATTTCAAAATAACTAGGTTCTCTTCTGAATGCATACACAGACTGTTCCTGGGAGTCTCGATAAGCAATAACATTACCATTGATCTCCCCTTCATGCTGGGATATCTCCTTCGTTCTTTCTACAGATACAAAAATATGGAAGAACACACCTTACAGGCACCACATCAATGTTAGATTAAAAGCCTAAATTACTATACATGGTAACTGTATAGTTTGATTGTTTGTATACCACCCTCATCGCTGTAGAACCTGAGAACCTCAATAAGCAACGTGACTAACATCTGTTATGTGGGGTTTGTTCTCTCTCTCCCCAGAAGAAGAATTGTGTCTGCAGAGCAACGTTTATTTGGGTAGGTTTTTTGTTTTATTTTGGGAGGTTGTTGGGTTGGCTCCCCCTGAATTTGTAGGTTGCTCTGTGTTTATGTTAGAGAAGGCAGGATGATGAAGTGGACCTTGAACATGGAGCAGCAAGTGGTGGGGTTTGGGGTGGTCCTTAGGTTCCTGTGCAACTTCATCCCACAGTTAATAACAACAGCCAAGTTTATTCTTCAGTGTAATTTCTTAAGCCCTGATCCTGCATGACCACATCAGCCTCTACTTAACTTTAGACACACGAGTGATTTCCATAGGACTACCTGTGAATATGAAGCTAGGATCAGAGCTTGATTTCATAATGTATTAGTTTCCTCCATGGTGTTAACAGAAATCAAGCAGACCCGTTAGGGTGGTGTTCTTGGTATTTATTTATTTGGATTTAAAAGTGTATTACCAAAGCAACTTTCACAATTTATCATTTCACACAATGTCAAGCAAACACACGTTATTTTATTTCCCCTTATTCCCATTTTGTTTTAAACAAAAATATTACAACTGAATGCAAATTTAAAGAGTACACGGAATTTTAGTCATTAGAATTCTGAAGGAGAGTGTTGTGCAGCAGGAAATAAAAAGAATCAGTTTTCCCCAAAAGACCATCTCCATTACCTGAATAATGTTCTTCTTGCCTTCTGTCCTCCTGCCTTTCTAGTTTGTTATTTGCATCATCTTCTCCCCACCATGAAGGCTGACCATACAGGGGTGTGCGATAAGGAGCTGTCTCTGGGAAGGGAAAGCAAGGAGTTACCATGACTGCAAATATCAGTGGGCATTGGCTATCAGATTCATAAAGGCAACAGAGTACAGTCTGCTAATAGGGAGGTGCAAGTGGACTGACGGAGTCTCAATGGACTTTCTTATACTCAAGCAATTTTCCAGCATTTCACTACAAAATATTGTTGGCTCAAACTGCCAGTGTCTCCTCCCAATTTAGTTCAGACCCCAAGTTTTGGTGGGTGAGGGGAGCAGGGAGAAAGAGAGAAAGAAGAGGCAAAAAAAAAAAAAGGAGAGAAATTGCAATGAAGACTGTCAGTTTTCTTTTGGATTTTAAGTATGCCCTGCTGTGCTGCAAACCCAAACGGTAGCATTATATTATTGCTGAGAAACCAAAGAGTGACTCTACCATAATTCATTGTCCCAGCTGAGCAAAACACAAAAAGCAAAATAAATGTGAAAAAAAGTGAAATTTAAATTCTTCCAGACATGGACATCTTAAAGAAGGATTTAACTGTGTCTCTTTAAACTTACAGTTCCCAATCCTGCAGTTCTATTAGATGCAAACCTCCAGGTGAAAATCATGGGAGTTTTGTCCTTGATGGATTGCAGGACTGGACTCAGTATGGAAATACAAAGTAGTAAAGGTGAAGGGAGGTATAAATAAGAGGAAGTCTGCGTAAAAGCCAAATCCTGCCTACAATCCCAATCCTGAACAACACCATCGGGCTGGCAATCTGTTATGGTGACTTTTCACTGCAGAGTTAAGTGAGCTGCATTCAAGTTACTTCTCTTGCATTAGCTCAGCATGAGAGAGAGCAGCCACACTGCGAAACGACGGTCACGCTGCTGCAAGGTCCTGCATCTACGCCGGTGCTACCAGGGCACATCTCATGGTTCCTAGTGCTGGGATACACTGAGCCTCATTACAAATCCTTTCTCAGTGTTCCGTGGGAGACTCTCTCTCCTTGCTAGGCACATGGGTGGAAGTGGTGTTAGCTCTTGACATGTAAACCAGTTTCGGCTGGGCAGGCTCCAGATTTCGGTCAGCGACCTTCATTCCAACCCATGGCAAGCAGGGATCCTACCCTGAGCAATGACCTGTGCTGAATGTTGGTGCTGATCCGAACCACGCAATGTTTATATTGGAAAGAAGAGACTGATACAGCGCAGGGGTGGGAAGAAATCCTTTGCCCCATTACTTCCCCAAGACTAGAGCGAGAGGCAGTAGATCCTCTGTGTGGCCTACACTTAGGGGTGGATTGATCTAAGATACGCAACTTCAGCTACGAGACTAGCGTAGCTGAAGTCGACACATCTTAGATCGACTTAGATTGACTTACTTCGCATCCTTGCGGCGCGGGATCGACGACCGCTGCTCCCCCGTCGACTCCGCTTCCACCTCTTGCCCTGGTGGAGTTCTGGAGTCGACAGGGAGTGCGTTCGGGGATCGATCTATTGCGTCTAGACAAGACGCACTACATCGATCCCCGATAGATCGATCACTACCCGCCGATCCAGCAGGTAGTGTAGACATACCCGCAGACGCATTATGGGCTGAGCACACTATACACCAAACTTCATTCCCTCACTCACTATCCAATGAAAAGCTGGACTGGCATTTATGAATTACAAAAGATGACTCTCAGGTTGATACATAAGGATGAATTTCAGGTTGATACATAATTATTGTCATGAGCAAATCTGCACAACCTTGTTATGAGCCTGCAAAATGATTAATTGCCTCTATAACCAGGGCCCCATTGCACTGGCCATCTGCCCTCCTGCCACACACATGCACACATAAAAGAGAGAGATGGTCCCTGCCCCAAAGAGTGAAAGAAACCTAGAGTTCTAGAGTTGCCATAACACCATGTAACCCATATGGTGCAAAGTACAACTCACACAACTCATACAGTTGCTTGGTAGCCACTTAGCCTTGATCTTGCAGTAACCTCTACTCAGGCAGACATCTCCTGTACTGGGATTCAATGAAGCGCTATGCGATTTCAGGGATTCACTCAAACAGCTCTCAGTGCAATGTCAGGTCTTTGTTATGAGAAAATGATGTCTAATGGAACTGATCAAAAAGTTTCATTCAAAAACACTGTCCCCATGAAATCTGGTCACAGGGGGAAAAAACTCAAACATTTGCATGAACATAACCAGATTTTCTAGAAATGTTCTATATCTCCCCCGCCCCCACGGGAAACGGTTACCATTTATTGTTTATCACTCGTTTTCTGGAAGGTGTCTTGGCAATGCCAGTTTTGATTGGTCAGCTGAATCACATGGTGCGAATTCCCCACGAAAGTTAATTAAGATCAGGGTCCTAGGATGGGTCCTAGGTATTCAGGGCATTTCTTCACATATGTTTGTAAAACTTTTAACTGATCCTGATTAGGGCCTCTGGATGCTACTGTAATGTAAAGAGTAAAGATTATAACCCACCCCCACCCCAGCTTGCCTGAGACAAGGTTTTCTTTGCTTATTTAAAGAGGCAAGTAAAATAGCTTTCATTTGTCATTCTCAGCATGGTGGGGACCAAGAGTGGATGGCACACTTGGGCTAGCAGATGTTCATAGCAATTTCGCAAGCATGCATATCTGTACTCTTGAGCCCCTCATACCTATGCATTAGATGCCTCCAGCAATGGCAGCTATCAGCATGTCCATTATTGGACCTATTTTAAATCCCAACTTCTTCTATGGCATCATATTCAAGTTACGGCTGCCTAGACAGCAGTTACTTGACTTGTGCTTTAAAACCACACACTGAGCTGTTGAAAGGAATCGTCAGACTGCCCCTGCACCGATCTATCTTGCCAGCTTAGTGTGGAAAGGGTGGGAATTAGTTCTTATTGCTATGGCAGCAACAGGATATACAGTTAAAAAGTATGTCTGAAGGAAGAGTTAACCCCTCCCCCAAACCGAACAACCACCGCTTGGAATATTTTAGAAGAAATCCGATTGAGAAACTAATAAATCCGGAATGCTGGCTTTGAAAACGACAGTCCAAATATAGTAATTTTGTTTTAAAAATACAGCATTTACTGACCACAGGCCCTTCCCAAGGGCTTTTCTTCATGTATGGAAATTATAAACAGATTGTCTCTCATAGGACTACAGATCAAGTGAGGTTGAAAACTTACTTTATGTACTTTCACCGCACAGCGTTTAAAAGAAAGCTACAGTCACAGTGCTCCTGTGGCCTTTTAAAATTCAAAGGAAGAAGATTTCTCATCATGAATAAATTGTAATTGCTAAGCGATAGGTATCACAAATAGGGACTGGCAAACCATTTCAAAAAGGAGTAAGAACTGACCAAAACCTTTAAGAACATAAGAACGGCCATACTGGGTTAGACCAGTAGTCTATGTAGCTCAGTAACCTGTCTTCTGACAGTAGCTGATGCCAGGTGCTTCGGAGGAAATGAACAGAACAGGTAATCATCAAGTGATCCATCCTGTGTTGCCCATTCTGGCAAACAGAGGCTAGGGACACTTCAGAGCATAGTTTTCAATCTCTGCCCATCCTGGCTAATAGCCATTGATGGACCTATCTTCCAAGAACTTATCTAGTTATTTTTTGAACCCAGTTATAAGTCTTGGCCTTCACAACATTCTCCGGCAAAGAGTTTCACAAGTTGATTGTGCGCTGTGTGAAGAAATATTTCCTTTTGTTTGTTTTAAACCTGTTGCCTATTAATTTCATTTGGTGACCCCTAGTTCTTGTGTGATGAGAAGGAGTAAATAACACTTTCTTATTTACTTAGTCCACACCAGTCATGATTTTATAGATTGATAGATTCTAGGACTGGAAGGGACCTCGAGAGGTCATCGAGTCCAGTCCCCTGCCCTCATGGC